GTAATAAGATAAACTATTGATTAAGCTTAGACAAACTTTTTCGCAGAACAATAAAGAATATATGTTTAAATTTTCATACATTTTTTATTCGTTTTCGTTACATAATAAATAAAAACATTATTATAATTATTTTTTTCATGCACTGTATATGCTGAAAGTCAAAATATTTTGACATAAAACAAATATGTTTCAGCATCTAAGTTTATATTAAAAAATCATATTTTTTTAAGTTCGTCAACAAATTTGCCTAAGGGATTATGTTTTTTAATTAAGCAATTTAAATTTATTTATATAATAAAAAAATTAAAAATTAAAAAAATCAAAATTAAAAAATATTTTTTAAATTTCTCCATTCTTACGCTTCTTGTTCTTTTCTGTAATATTTCTTTTAATATAAATTAATATAAAAAAATGAGTATTTTAATTATTTATAAAAAAAAAAAAAGATATATTTCTTACTTTTTTTATTTCTATTAATTAAATCTTCATTTTCTTTTTCTTTAATATTTGTAAAATAAAGTTAATATAAAAATTATCATTTATATAATGAATTAATAAGAATTTTTAATTTACCTAAATTTTTATCATAAGATAAATTAAATTTTGTGTTGAGATTGAAGATAATGCTAGAGGTGATGTTGATGCTGATGCTGATTTCACTGGTTTCATCATTGGTGCTAGCTTCACTTTCATTTTCTTTTTTGTTTTAATATTAATTAGCATAAAATTAAATTTAAGAATTTTTATTATTATGTATTAGAAATAAAAATTTAAAAGTTACCTAAATAATTCTTAGAAACCTTGCTTTCTTATTAATATTGGAGGTAACACTGGCTTTGATATTATTGGCTTTAATTTTAATATTAGCTTTGGCATTAACACTGGCGTTGGCTTTAGCATTGTCACTGACATTAGTGCTGGTATTAGCGTTGGCACTGGCTTTGATATTGATATTGGTACTGGCATTAGCATTGGTGGTGACACTGGTGGTAGCACTAGCATTGCGTTTTTTGCAACGTTTACTAGGTCCTGAGAATAAAAATCAAATAGTCTATTAGCTTCACGTATTGCATCATCAATTGGTGAAAGTCCTGCATAATAGAAATGAATAAGTAAGTTTGGATATTCGATATTATTGCAGATCTATAATGAGACAACATAATCAAAAAGTAAGATCACTCTATTTATTACGACTCACTTACCAGCAACGAGTTGCTCTATGATAATGTGTTTTTGGGAGGGTTTGACGATAAGAAGCAGGAATGAAAAGCACAAGAATAAGTATTTTTGACGAATATGGCACAGCGTGAGCGAAAATGAAATTCACATACCTCCTTTAATTCATTAATCACCTTTTCGATATCTTTAGCTGGTCCACCCGGTATTTTCCACCTTTCAAAATCTTCTGCGGTAAAATCAAGAAAATTTGAACCATCAACTTCTTGATCTACTGTGATAGTATTTGCATGTTTATTATTATTCTTAGTATCCTTCAGTCTCCATTTCAAATATTCGTTAAGTTGTTCACTGTCCAATCTCTTTACTTTTGTCAACCGTCAGAAGAGAAACACTTGTAGAGTCATTAAGGAACTTGCAACGTTAGACGACATAATTTTGCAATTAAAAAAGTATGAAAAGTGTAGAAAAATTTTATAAATATGGGGCTTCGTCAATAGAAACACATAATAAATTATTAAGTAAGAAGGTGTGTTTCTATTGATGAAGCCCCATATATGAGAAATCGATTGTCACACAGATCGCCTGATTCATCAGTTGAATAACCTTTAGCGTCTACACTAATAAATTCTATTAAAGGTTAAAAATAGATTGTTTTGTGCAATAAAGACTCAAACTAATAATATCATAAATCAAACCTTTTTTTTATTTTATTTTTTTATACAAAGACAAATTTGCACAACAAGATCAGAATTGAGGTAAAGAAAGAAATTCTATAATGTACATCTTTGGTTTAAAATTTATGAAATAAAGTTTAATTTAACCAACCAGGACCCGCCTCTTCAAATACAATCTTATCATCATTGTCTGAAAAAATTTTATAGGAATCTTCATTTTTAATCAATATGTCCGCTTCTCGACTTAAAAGTTCTGGATCTTCTTCCAAATCGGATCCAACATCATCCCAAATCTCTTTGATCACTCGTTTATCTATGAAGTTAAATATCTCATCAATGACCGTGGAAGTTACGTACTCATTCAGTTCGGACCCTGATTCAATTACAAATTCGTTACTATTAGGATTCTTTCATAATCGAAAATAAGGTGAAATCGTTTTGATAATTAATTACCTGATGAGACCGAAATGCAACCGAACCTAGGGTCGATGACTTCTTGACCGATCGGCTGATCGGACATGAGCCAATTTCTACAACGCTATAATTGTTCATCAATGCATTAATGTTCTGTAATTATATAGTACCGCAAGTATAAAGTTTAATTTTTTACCTCTCGGATCCAAACTTTCATCTTATCGGATTTGACAAAATCAATCGAATGAGTTGATGCGGTAAATTCGACTGCCTTAATCTTATCAAGCAAAGCATCGACTAGGTTGGGATGGGTTGTTAGTAATGTTTGACAATGATAGTGGTTAAACGACTTTGACATAAGTTACATACAGTTATTTTGAATGGCATCAACTGCACAATGACCTCCATAACTATTTGCGACAACGACTATTTTTTCCGCGGCGGAAGGTCTACATCCGTAGACAGAAATAAAATTGTGAAAGTTAATGCTAAAAGATGGATGGTTTACGTACGAACAACACAAAATCCTTACATAACAAAGTTTTTAAATACATAATTCACATGTGCCTCTGGTGATTCACTTCCGGGTATAGTATCAAACGTAACGCTCGTTTTTGGTAAAATCAACTGTGTTGAATTAGAAAACACAAGTTATCATGACATGATCGATTCAATAAATCCACGACATAGGTTACAAACATATGATACGTACTACTCCTTTACCCTTATACCAAAACACTTCATTCGGGTTCGTAATTACGATCGCAAATCCCAATTCCCTGGCGCGTTTTGTGTAGGTGATCATTGAACCATCCTTTTTTTTTTTTTGTGAATTGTCACAAATGTTAACGTTAACTAGATTTACCATAATATATAACAAAATGTAAAAAGCATCTAGATTCTTTAACGAACCATGACAGAAGAATCCGAGAGCACTCGTCTCGACCAAATGCCAACTCTGTTTTTCATAAGTTATGTTAGATCAAAAAAATGTGAAATTCAGTTCTGTTATAAAAAATCATAGAAATTTTGATCAATTTACTTGTGAGATGTTCCAGGGATAAAGATAATCATTTTATCGTTTGTCATATAATCCTGACTAGATTCAAACGAACTTGATTTTAATAATTATGCCGAAAATGAAGAAATAAAGGTTATATACACGAACTTCACCTTAAAAAAATCTTGCTATGTATATCCTCTTCTGTCGCACCTAATGGTACCAACGCTTTAATCAATCCACAATCCTTCTGAAGCTTTTCTTCTGCCAACTCACAAAGAATATCTATATTTCATAATTTTGTGGTAATATCGGTTAACAGGTTTTCCCTTAATCAAACCAATTGCCATTTCGTTATAGCGTACCTATCAACGTGTCGTACAGCCCTTCATTATATTCCCTGTCTTTTTTCACTTCAAATGTATAAGGTTCACCTGCATTGACCGTCAAAAGGGGATAAATGTAAGAGTCACGTTTGAATTCTTGAAAAAAAAAAAAAAACCTCCACTGAAACTTGCCTTCTAGCGTTCTAAGTCTCCCTTCTTCGTCGATAAAATAGCCAAGTTCTTTCAAGTCGCGCGAATAGGTATTAACGATCTTCTTGGTTTTTTTCTTTCTAAACATTTTTATTTTTTGTTTAATTTTATTTTTACCTAATTGCTGGGAGAGAGAAGCGAAGCCTCTTTATTTTCGTGTTATTATAGTCATTTATGGCAAAATCGTGATGTGGTTGATGCTCATCATGCATAAGGTAAATTTGTCAGGTGAAGTTGTATTAATTTTTTTTTTATTTGCCCAATTTTCCCGCCTAAAACTAGTTTATGCATCACTATGCGTTAGACATAAAAATTTCTTGATTCAAAAAGATTTCATAGCAGTATTGTTTTGAAATTTTGTGGAGGAAAAAAAAAAACATTACGGCAGTGAAGATAATCTTCCCGCCAAACGAGTTGAAGTTGTTTGATTTTTTTTTTCATGTTTGTCGTTATTCCACGGAATTCCACGGAAATTTCGGGGTTGCAAAAAAAAACCCCCCGCCAACGATATCAAAGGTGAAAAAAAAAACAAATTACGCGTTAATTTATAAAATAATGTCAAAACGATGCATTTAATAAGAACCCAAATAAAGGAGTGATAAACCGGATCAAACTCGTCATAATATGATTACAATTGTGAATTTTCTTTTTTTTTTTTTTTTAAAAAAAAAAAAAATATGGGATCAACGAGGCATTATGTCGTGTCTAGATGATCAAACAGAATCTTACATATTTTCGACAAGATGCATTAAACATTATTTACCTGATAATTTTAAGTTCACCCACCATGATTTCATTATGCTAAAACCTATTTTTGGAAATTAATCATTGTTCCTTTGAAATATTACTTTTTTTTTTTTTTTTTTTGCGCTAGCTGTTTCTGAATCACGATCATTAAATACTTGATAATCAAAAAAAAAAAAAAGCGCGCATACCAATAAAAATATGATTTTTTTTACTCTATCTTACAAATTTTATTTGATTTTTTTTTTGTGAATTGTTTGTATAATTGAAAAAGAAGAAAAAGAAAAAAAAAATAGTAGTAGAAAAAGAAAAAGAAAAATGACTATATATAAAAAGAAAGTAGAATACTAAATCAGAGTCATACAACGCGTCTATTACGTTGGTACAAATAATCTAATACTCTTTGAAAAAAATGTAAAAAAGAAAAAAGTTCCCACCCAAATAAAATTTAAATCCGATATCTCACAAGTTTTTTTTTTTTAATATATATTTTGTTTGACTCCATTTTCTCTTTCCTCTCTCTTATCTTTTTTTTTTTTTTTTGTCTAAAATAAATCATGAAAGATTCTAAAGTCCATCGAGAGGTAATAAAAGAAGTGTTGTTTGAAACAGCATAAAAAAAGAAAAAAAAGAAAAAAATATACTAAAGAAGAAAGAAAAAAAAAAGTAAAAGGCAGAATAAAGCAAAAATGTTTGTTTGATTTTTTTTTTTGAATTTTTTTTTGAATTTTTTTTTTTTAAAAAAAAGCTTCAAGAAGCAAAAAGAAAGAAAATAATATGCAAAGAAAAAAAGGCACACGAGCTATACAAATTTATAATTTTTTGTCTCAATTTTTTTTTTAAAATCCTGTTGATGATAAAAAAAAAAAAGGAAAGACCATCCTTAGATTTATATATATATATAAATGCAAAAGAAAAAAACTGACAAAAATCTTATTCCCAACCGCCATTACCAGCAAGTTCTTCGTTAGCAGGAGGTTCGTCTCTTCGATATTCGTAACGTCGAGTGCTAATTGTGTTTGACTCTTCTGCTGGTGTACTAACACCGCTATCAGGTGATGGAGTGTGTAATACGGTACTCTGTTCGAAATAACGGTCCAAACCCTCGGTGGTTGGCGTTGTCGTTCCAGTAGCAGGACCTCCATTATTGTTGGAAGCCGATGTGTAATGATGTGGACTTCCTTGTGCATTTGTGACCATTTGAAGATTACTATTGGTATATCCTTGTGGAGTGGAAGGGTTGGCACCTGGAGTCGCTGGCCCAGTCCCCAAGACTGGTAACTGATATCCAGCTGTGCGTGGCGAAGATTGAGCGGATGATGGCGTTGTGGCCTCGGGGAATTGTTCGTATTTTACACGTTTACCGGAATGATTCCATCCAGTAAAGGCTGAATTTCCGGGGGATGAGTTTGGGCTTACATGCATTGGACTTGGGAAAGATCCTGCGGCCACATTCATAGCAGTGCTGACAGCGATGCTGCTCAATGGAGGTGGAGGGTGCATAGCAAGTGGTGGACTTGGCTGACTTGAATTATTAACGGAATTGTAATCATCGTTTTCTTCTTCACCGAAGCTACGTTTTTGACCAATAAGTTGAGGTGAACCTTGAGCGGGACTTCCTCCAACAACATCGGCAGCCGAAACAAGATTATAAAGGCCTTGACCGGATCGTATGTAACCGTTACCGTTACTAGCAGTATTGTCCTCAGTCTTTACGTGAGTATTATATAAATTTGGGGAGTTAGTACTACTTCGATTAATGGAAACGTCATAAGTAGACGGTGGTGGCGTTGGTCTTTGCTGATGATGACCAAAATACCCCGCGTTTTGTGGGATAGCATAAAAACCAGCCGTCGATGAATTCTTGAATTCGGTAGGTGAGAGATTATAACTACTCACCGCCGGACCCGAAACCACAGTGACTCCTTGCTGTCCTTGAGACTGTCCATTTATCAAGCCATAACTTGTTTCGTACTCCTCTAGGTGAGCTTGTGGATGGGCATTGTGATTCCTCGTTGGAGGATGAGTTGAATATATCGGTACAGCAGGTGGTGTTGCCACATTAGCGGAACGATCTGGATAACCTGAATTTGGTGGATATGGTGCCGAACCATGCTCTTGGCCCTGTGGTGTTGAGGGTGATCCCATTAGATTTCCATTTCCATAAGGGTACCACTGTCGAGTTGTTTCCGAGTATGGAGCTGCGTTGTTAAAATTATTGGCATATGGATGGGTGGGTCTCCATTGTGATGTAGGACCTCCACCTATCGATGGGATTCTTGTGGACATTGGAGGACCATATGAATTGTGTAAGAAGATACTGGGATCATCCACGAACAATGGGTAAAGCAATTCACTGATCTTGAATTGGGCCGCAAGAGTCTTTGCGCGTTGAAAAGTAATCCTATGTTTCATGAAAAAAAAGAAAGAGGGAAGCGTGAGAATGTTTGAAGATTGATCGTAAAGATGAGAATCGCGAGAAAAGAATCTATCAAGATAAAAGGGAAAACGCGCTTACCAAACACCTTTAAGATGCATAGCTCCAACTTTGACCACCACTCTTCCTTTCTCGTTCTTTAAGATACCATCACGTTTACCACGTGACATTCCGACGACATTTAAAAGTTTTGTTCCATTGATCATATCATTATCTATTTTTTTTTTTTAAAAAAAAAAAACAAAAAAAAGAGGATCAAACAAGTCATGATGATGATCATAAGAAAGACGCGTGATGTAATGTGGGAGGAAGGGAAATAAAGGGAGAAAGGGTTTAGTTTCAGGAATTGTGGAAAGTCCGCGTGATCATCATGTTAAAAAAAAAAACACGGTACCTTGTCGTCTCGCCACACAGATGCCTCTAGCATCAACTTGATAACACAACGTTCCCTCATCTTCCCATATGGTTGTAGTAAGCTTTGGTCTTGGGGCATGACCTGGAGCAATATTTGAAGCCGCAGGGCTGTAACCTACAGCAGGAACGAAAGCGCTACCACCATTAGCCGATAAAACCGCGGTACCATTCGCACCATTGAAACCCCACTGGTTTGGCGGCCAAAATGGGTGTGAGGTAGGGTTTGCGAAATGTGTGTGAGGTGGGTAGATCAAGGTGGTGCTGCCGCTGTTGTCCAAGTGAGAAGTAGTCATCATAGTGGAAGGTTCTTGTTGTGAAGAAATGGAGTTCTTTGTCGCAGTAGGAGTTGTCACAGGAGTAGGGTGTTGCTGTGGAATTTGATTATATGGAGAAAAGGCGGAGTGAGGCAAGGAAGCAGGACTTGTTTGAGTAGCGGTCGAGGTTAATGAACGTGAACCAGCGGGTGAGTTTGGGTTGCTGGAGGAGTTATTATTCGAGGTTTGAGTATTTGTCGTCGTGGTGGAGGTAGTGGAGTTCGAAGAGGTAATTCGAGATTCGGTTTTATTGCCTGGCGTCGTCGTCGTGTTGTTAGAGAGTGTAGGAGCCGGAGAAGTCGGCGTGGTAGGGTGGTGTTGTTTCGTTTGTTTGTAATGAGCGCTGGCAGTTGTTAATGCAGTATTGGTGTTAGATGAATCGGTATAAAGCTTATTTGAATTCTGGAAACCAGCCATAAATGAAAAGTATGTCGCGTATGTCTATGTAAGCGTCTGTATGTACCGCCAATCTGTTTTTGTATGTTTTTTATATATTTATATATATATATATATGTATTTTTTTTTCAACAACTTGTTTTGGGATAAAAGATATTTTTGTTGTTTTCTGGAGTTTCAATGATATTTGGTTGGTTGGTTCAGTTCAGGTAGGCAGGAGGATTTTTGAGGTGTGGCGTGAGAAAATTGAAATTTTTTTTTTTTTTTTTTTTTTTTTGTAATAGGATTGGACGGTGTATATGGTAATAATTATAATAATAATAAAAAAAAAACTATAGAAGGGAATTATATATATAATAAGGGGGTTTATAGTAGTTTAAAAAAATATGATATATACCAAAAGTGATAAGACCCGATAGATAAGTTTTCCTGTTCGAGGAGGTTCGATATGGTCTAGAATACTCTAAAAATAAATAAATAATAGAATTCGTTATTATTATTGGAAGTAATAGGTTACAAATATATTTTAAGAAAAAAATATATATATTTCGATAAAGGGCTGCGAGCAAAATAGCTAAATAAGTGAGTTAAGGAAGAGACAAGAATCGGTTTAAGCAGCAACGTAAAATACACACAAGTTTGAACACGTACAACACAATCACAAGTAAAATTAAAAAAAAAAAAAAAGTAGATTTGATTTTCCACCGATTTTTTTTTTTTTTAAAGAGTGACAAGAGTTGAAAAAGAGTAAAGGAACGAGTGGAAAGGGATATAATAAGATAA